GGGGAGAGAGAGAGAGAGGGGAGAGAGAGAGATGGAGAGAGAAAGAGAGAGAGAGAGAGAGAGAGAGAGATCACCTTTTCCTTGCGTGTTGCCACGTATACTGTCATTGTACTCTATATTGTTGTTGTTGTTGTTGTTGTTGCTGTTATTGCTGTGTTGTCTTTGTTGTTGTTGTTGTTGTAGTTGTCGCTGTTATTGTTATTTCCACTTTGTTGCTGTTGATGTGGTACATGTACACTGTTTATGACACTATTGTTCTAAGTAGAATTAAGTGTACTTTTGCTGATGTAGTTGTTGTTGTTTTTTGTTGGGTTTTATTTTTATTTTCCTTTTTGGTCGTTGTTGTGTTTGTCGATAAACAACTCGGAATGTGATTCTCTGACAATTGTTAGGCATCGTGGTGAAATCAGGCGCTCGTCAAAGTAATGAAATCGAAGAAACCAACTCCTTGGCTCCTTCTTACTGCTGTCTTTCTGCCACACCCTTGATATTCTGGTAGGAAAGATCTACACCTAGCCTTCTCGGACAAGGGCTAAAAATCTCGGAGGGCCCGTGTGCAAGTTGCGCAGATTAAAGATCCCTTGGTAGTCTAAAATCAATAAGAGTAGGCTTCGGCCGCCACCCGTGCAAAATTCAAAATTTCCTACCTACTAAAAGTATTAGGTGTGTCCCGCGCGCTCATATGACCTTATGCAGTTGTGAGGGCCGTAAAACACTTACCTAAAAAAAAATAATAATAAAAGAAGAAACCAACATTTTTGCACCCGTTGCTGAGAGGTTTTTATGTTTTAAAAAGATGTTTTTATTCCCTTTATATCCATTCAAACCACGTTTCTGGGCTGGTTTTTACCTTAAAATACTAATGAAAGGCACAAAAATGTAAATTTGTGGTTTCAAAGGACACTAGCTGAAGCTTTAGATGTTATCAAACTTGGTCGACCATTAAATTTCTAGCTAATAATTTTTAATGCCCCCAAAAAGTGACCCCCATTTCCTTCAGTCACAGATATAATATATCTCGACTTCTGGTTCAAAATAGACGGATATTTCTTTCTTTTTAAAATAAATCAAGAACAAGACTAAACAGGCTTTAATATGATACCTATAACAACTGCATAATATGCCCAATAAAATTTGACGGGCGCCTGATTTTACCATGCCGTGACACAATTATTAATTGAAACAAAGATATTATAATAATAATAATAATAGATAGCATTTGTATAGCGCATATCCCCGCTCAGCAGCAGGCTCTATGCGCTTAAAATTATAAGGGGGCTCTCGTGGCCTAGAGGTTAAGGTGTTGGCCTCCATTCAAAGGTCCCGGGATCGAATCCGGGTAGCGACCAAAAAACTTTCTTCTCTAAAATTGTCTCCTTTCACATCCTTTCCTGCTCTCTAGCAATTTTCTGTCGTCTGCTTTCATTTCCACTTTCTGCCCCCACCCCCTC